ACCTTAAAGCCCACCCAGTCCCACCCCCTGCCATGGGTAGGGACACCTTACACTAGACTCTCCAGTTGGGACTGGAGATTTTGGGGATACTCACCCTCCTTATGGGGAGAAGCTGGAAGCCCTTGGCCCTAATGTAGTGATGGGAGAGAACAAGAGGGGAAGGGGAAAGTCTTCTTGACTTCTTGGTCTGGTTGTTGCTCTGGGTCTTTCTTCAGAGGAGCCTGTTTCTTTCCACTGATGAGAGATGCTAAAGGGGACTGTGGTTTTGTCTCTCTGAGGGGACACAACCAGCCTCAATCCCTCCCCAAACCAGGACAGGGATTAACACAAGGCAGGATTTACCCCCAGTTTAAACAAGACACTGCATTTAGGGGGACCAAAGTGCTTAGCCGCATGCCCATGGCCAGGCAGGGCCACGTGGTCTCACGGGTGGAGAATGGGGACATCCCTGAGTTCTTCGCTACCGTGGATGGCACTGATGCATCCCGTCTGTTCTCTACAGGCTACAGACCTTCACCCAGCTGACATCAATGGGAAAGCCGACCCCTATATTGCCATCAAGCTGGGGAAGACAGACATCAAAGACAAGGAGAACTACATCTCCAAGCAGTTGAACCCCGTCTTTGGAAAGTGAGTTGGCCCAGCCCTGTTACCGGCCTGTAAGGGGTGAGCTAAGCCTCAGCCAAGCTTGCCAGCTCTTGGACATGCATCCTACCCATCCCCCCACTGCTGCTTGGGCTCAAAAGATGGGGCTCGTCACACAGAACTTTCCTTGCCAGCAGTGTAGGCATCCTCATTTCAGCCATCTCTCCTTCTTTGCCAGTGGTATGGTCAATAGAGTAAAGGGTGTTTTAAGAGATCATAGAATCACGGTTTGGGTTGGAAGGGCCCTTAAAGCCCCCCCAGTGCCACCCCCTGCCATGGGCAGGGACACTTTCCACTAGACCAGGTTGCTCCAAGCCTCATCCAGCCTGGCCTTGGACACTTCCAGGGATGGGGCATCCACAGCTTCTCTGGGCAACCTGTCCCAGTGCTCCCACCCTCCCCGGGAAGGATTTCTTCCTGATATCTGATGTCCATATCTGATCAAGATTGAGAACCTACTTTAGGAATCATTAAGCCTGAACTCCACTGAGGGTATGGCCTGGATTTCCAGTGACACACAACCTTTTCTATTGGCATCCGGTTGAGGAATCACTGTGTCCTGCTGCTGGATCTGAAACAACCCATGTGGAGATTCAGTTGACACCCCCTACTCCAAATATCCTGCAGCAGTAGATGCAAATAAAACACCGTCCACAGGCTGGGGCAGACCCACCTCACCCACGTGTCCATCCTGAGCAGCAGCCAAACGCTTCAACAGCTTCTCTCTTTCCTCTCCCCTGCTTTCCCCTGGCCCAGGTCCTTTGACATCGAGGCCACCTTCCCCATGGAGTCCATGCTGACGGTGGCGGTGTACGACTGGGACTTGGTGGGGACTGACGACCTCATCGGAGAGACCAAGATTGATCTGGAGAACCGCTACTACAGCAAGCACCGAGCTACTTGTGGGGTGTCCCAGACTTACTCCATGTACGAACAAAAGCTTTCCCTGCCCATCCTTCTGCCTGGACCCATCTCATCTTCTACCCCAAGCCTTGATCTCCTGCAGGAATCTCCCTCCTTTATTTCCTGCTAATGGAGGGATCTGTGCTCTAAAGACAGGTTTTGTGACCAGCAGAGCAGGGCAGCGGTGGAGCGGGTTGTAAGGAGCCCAGGGCAGGGAGGAAGGGATAGAGGGGCACTGGTGGGACTGGGTGGAGGATTTCTTGGACCAAAGGAGCAACGTTGAGCATTGGGAGTCAAGTGGGGTGTGCTGGGAGTTCCAGGTCTGAGTCAGCACAGAGTAAAGGGGCTGAAAGGGTGTTGGCAAAGAGTGGAGAAGGGGGCACAGAGGGATCCAGTCTTCCCTGAAGTTTCTCGTTTGCTACCTCAGATCCTTTCCCTGTGAATCCTGGGTCCTTCATGGCAGTAGCATTTGTTTTGCTGACAGAGGGGAACAAAAGCGCTTTTTCCTCCAGATCTTGCTACTACTTCACTGACCTTGCCCTCCTGTTCACAGACACGGTTATAACACCTGGCGTGACCCCATGAAGCCCTCCCAAATCCTCTCCAAGCTGTGCAAAGAGGGCAAGGTGGATGGGCCACACTTTGGGCCAGGAGGAAGAGTGAAAGTTGCCAACAGGGTCTTCACCGGCCCCACGGAGATTGAGGATGAGAACGGTACCTGCCCCTTGGGGTTGAAAGTTGTGGAGTGGAGCAGGGGTCTGGGGTGCCCCCTGATCATCCAGGGTTGGAGATAGATGTAGCGGGATCATGTCCCTAAAGCAGCTCTGCAGTCACCATCCATTCACCACCGTAAATGGACCTTCCAGTTTGTGACCAGTTAGACCAGTTAGACTGTCTTTCAGACCACCCCGGCCAGCGTGTTGCTCTCAGAATCCTTCATGGGTGCTGTGGCAGAGCATTGCCAAAGCTGCCTTTGAAAAATTCCTCCTGGGGCAGCATATGCTCATGGAACAACGAAGACAGCCCACCCTGGCCTTGCCGGGGTTGAGGAAGCCATTCTCCATGCTTCCCCAAACAATGGTTGTGTCCCACTGTGGTCACGTATGCTCCGGAAAGGTGAAGGCAGGCCAGGAGGGATGCGGAAGAGGAGATGGTCAATGGATACGGAGCTTGTTCAACCTGAGAAAATGCAGAGTGGCAGGGGGTCCGGACCTTCTGTAGATGACAGGGGTTAGAGAGGAGAACAAGAGGAGTTGGGAGGTGTTGGCTGAAAAACAAAGAGTACACAAGGAAATGGAATGGGCGGTTGGACACCTTGGAGTAGGGGTGGAGGAACAGGGTTGTTTGCTGTCCCTGCCCGGTTGTCCAAGCTCCCTTTGCAGGTCAGAAGAAGCAGACGGATGAGCACCTGGCCCTGGCAGTGCTGCGCCACTGGGAAGACATCCCGCGGGCAGGCTGCAAGCTGGTCCCCGAGCACGTGGAGACGCGCCCGCTGCTGA